CAATTCTACGAAAAGTTGTTTTGAGCGACCTCTAAATATTTTTTGATGTCAAAATAAAAAAAGGGAGGTATATTTTTTTCGGTATAGAACAATCTTAGGGGGTGAGAGCACAAAAATTCCGACTTTACTTTTTACATGCATATTTGGACCACCCTAATGTACATACTAAATGTGATTATATGCCTATAAAAATGTAGGTATGTATATTTATGTAAGTGCAATAGCAAAAGCAACGAGTCATAATGACAAGTAAAAATTCCACAAATTTGTCCACTTAAAATTGCGATTCATAAATTTTTGTAAACATTTTAACCCTTTCTGACTTTCTCCTATGTTCAGCTCCAAATTGCTAGGTTCTTGAGAAATAATTAAAAACTCATCAGGGCTGCGGCTTAAAAAGTGGTTCAATGGGAAAAGTTCAATAATAGTATTTTACATAATACCGGGAACTAAAAAAACATATACCCAACAACTTTTTAGTTGTTTACCAATATCTGTAAACTGTCTAAATTTTCTTTTTAAATTGAATAATCCCTTGAAGTTAAATAAATAGGTACAGAACTTTTATCTTTAGAAATATTATACTTTGCCCGCGGGCAAAGCTCTTTCAAGCTTTGTATACCTTTAATATAGAAAGCTAGACAGAGCTTTGTCCGCAGACAAGCTGATGCCCACCACCGCTTTAGACTGTCAGAACTAATCGGATTTACTTACATACAATATGTGGCGTTTCCTGATAAGTTCTGTTAATTAGACTGCATTCTATTTTCTATTCTGTTCCAGTTTGTTTCTTAAGACTTAGACTTTTGTTTTGAGCAACTATATATATTTTTTGGCGAAAGATTTTTAGTGGCATAATTACACAAGCTTTTTTGAAAACTTCATTCAGCAAAATTTTTCTTAAGGGTTTTCGAGGAAAACCAACGCCTGATGCGCCAACGTATGCTTCGCTACTTCGCAAATTTAATGGTGCATAATTATACTACATAGAAGCTCCTATTTAGTAATTTCAGTTAGAAAACCGATCAAAAGTTGTGAAGAAAATAAGTTTCTTTGCTATTTTGTGTAATTTTCGTGCTATCTTATAAGTTTGGCGTAGGTTAAAAAAATTTACGAAATAAAAAATCCGTATCAAAAAAATGTGATAGATTGTCACGTAACAGTAATATTTGCTATTTTTGAATTCTGTGAAGTGCAGAAGGAAAGCGTATTGCACGAAAAATTCAATCAGAAAAACAGCCAAAAACGTATCCGTTTCAAAACAATTTTCGGTACTTGTCTGTACCTACGTTTTTCGCCGCACCCTTTAGTGGGAAACGGATAGTCAAAGTCTACGAAAATGGAATAGGTAAACGGACAAAAATCCGCATGTCATTCACTTTTTTTTTATTTTCGGATCGACTTTCGGATTTTTTGCTGGCTAGGTAGTTAGTTGCAAAAAAAAGTACAAATGCATTCACTTCGTTATACTTGTATGTATGCGGCGGTTCGAAAATGCATGTGAAAAAGTAAAGTCGAAATTTTTATGCTCTCACCCCCTAGGATTGTTCTATACCCTTTTTTATTTTGAAATCAAAAACTATTTACCGGTCGCTAAAAACACTCAAAAATTTCCATGTATTTTGTA